GTGGGGAGCAGAACAGGCAGATCGACGAAGTACACTGCTGAGGGGAGCAGCGGGTGGGCCAGGAGAGGTCTGCCACGCCATGTTGATCTCCTCCAGGGCAGGCAGGGATCGAACTCATGCATAAGTAGCTTAAGCTTTTTAGTGCTGTGCTTTAACCTGCTGCGCCACCATGGAGGGCCCCAATATGTCCTTTTTAAAAAGAAAGTATAAACTCTTGGCTTTATAAAAATTTGATTACAACTTTGTCTTACAGTATGTTTTTTTTGATAAAATATCTAATGATTTTATATATGTTTTCATGTATTTTGGCAAGTCATTTAATACCTTGGTGGTCTTATAAAAAGCTGATGTACTACCTGAAGTGCATATGTAATATAGGTCAGGTGCTCCTTAGCATGTTACTCATCAGATGGCGAGAAGCTTGCCTAGTACTATGGCACACAGAATACTTAGGATTCACAGAAGACCTTTGATTTGGTAGAGGATATTCTTACAGAAGAACACACAATGATATAGAAATGACAGCCTGGAAAATAGAAACATTGGTAATGTTGAATATGAGGCTAGATGGGGCCAGATGTTGAGGACCTGTTGGATTTTTTCCTGATTTGGTGGGTTCTAATTAGAGTCCTCCCCCCCAAAAAAAATAATTAGAATCCCACGGGGAGAGGGAAACTCAAAAGGTTTTTTACAAACTTGGGTATGAGAAAGGTGCTTTTTGTAATAAAGACTGGCCAAGTGATGGTTCTAAGATGCCAATAAGGCTTTTTTATTCACGAAGCTGGAATGTGCAGGTATCTTGTTCTCTTCAGGCTTGCCGACTTCAGATGGCACTGGAGAGTGTCAAGGATGCTTTGGTTTGAAAGACTAGGAAGCTGTGCACAAGTATATATGGTGTAGAGCTGTGGGCACACTGGTGATTTGCATAGCGAAAAGTCAAGAGGCATTGTGTGCTTACTGCTGCCAAAAGGGGCCTGACTACATGGAGCCCAGTGTTAGATGTTTCATTAGGAGGGCGTATTAATTCCTCTGTTTACCTTCATGAACTAGATTAAAGATGACTAAGAGGAAAGTTATTATTTTAATGGTGGGTTTGCTAGCAAAGGAAGAAATCAAGGGCAAAACAAATGCACTACATTCGAAGAATGTTCAGCAGGACGGAAAAGGAGGTCGACGGACAGACCGTTATCTGTACATCCATTCCACTCCCCATGCCCTTGTCCCAACTAGTGTTGGAGATAGCAGGAGAGGTTATTTTTATTTATTTATTTTTACAGGTATGTCAACATTTTTTTAAAATGTATTTATGCATACAGAAGTGGGGTACAGGTCAGAGATGCAAGGGCAGTGAGAGAATTCATCATGGGGAGCAGAACAGGCAGCATGAAGCATACTGCTGAGGGGAGCAGCAGGTGAGACAGGAGAAGTCTGCTGCGCTGTGTGGTTACCTCCCTGGCAGGGGATTGAACTCATGCTGAGGTGGCTACAGCTAGTTTCATAGTGCTGCACTTTAACCTGTTGTGCCGCAAGGGAGGACCAAATTTTTAAAATTTTTTAAAGATTTTATTTCTGTGTAGAACTTTGTGTAGGTCTATCAAAATAAGTGAAAAAGTTAATCTGATAGGTCCTAGTGCCCACTGTAGCAGTTATTGGAAGAAATAAAATTTATTTTGAAAAGTGATTTGAGACAAGGTAACCAAACCATTCAAGACTGGTAACCTGACTTATGGAGCCACCATTCATATTTATTAATTTCTGAAAATTTAATTTTCAGTGACCTGATTACACTTGAATATAAGCTTTATGATAGAACATTGTACACATACAGTAGCCCCTCTCCCTGTTAATCATGGCTTTGCTTCTGCAATTAGTTATAAAAGTTTATAAATTAAACTGTCACAGATATGTGAGCATAGGAAAAAGTTTATATATTCACCTCTTCAAGCATCCACTGGTGGGTCCTGAATTCCTCAAATAAGTGAGGTGGAGGAAACACTGAAATATCTACCCAATTCCTACCAACTAGATATTGGTAACAAAGGTAATTAGATATTAATGTTGAAAAGACGGCAAAACATTCATATAAGACAAAGCTCTTTTAATAAGAATATTTCACACTCCGTAGCTGTTTGAAACATCCAGGAGAGCCAGGTCCTTTATCTCCTCTAGAATTGTGTACAGGCTTCTTCCCTTTGTTTGGCGATACTCTTGATAATCTTCGTGAATGGGATTTACTTTGACTTCCTGGGAAAGTTGAGTTTCTTCCACAGATCTAGTTACTTCTTTAACTAAATCACTCTTTAGCAAGAGGGAACTTTGCTGAAAAAGTTCTGTATCTGATACCATGTATGGCCTGTTGCTTACAATTTCAAGTCTGATTATATCAGAATGGCAGCGGGAAGCCTGTACAGATATTCTCACCTATCAAGCAGGAGAAAAGGCATATTACTAAGTCACATTCTTTGTTATATACATGCAAAGCAATACTTAAGTATAAACACAGACTTACTGTTACATGGTCAAACACATGGAATGTAACAGATTCTCCTTCTGCTGTGGTAGAGGTAATTTTGTTTAGAAATCGTTGAAGGGATCCTGGTTTCCATTCAGAATAGCGATCTGGATGGCATGAGATCACTAAGCCTTCTTTATTTTTTAGATAAGCAGCACCTTTAATCCCAAATCTGAGTCATAGCCAAAATAAAAATCAAGGTATGTATGCTTAGTATGTAGATCTTGTATTATTTATCTAGAATGCTAGATTTTCTTCTACATTAAAAATTTCCTGATTTAACTGCAAATATTCAATAAAAAGTTGGAAACAAAAACATTTTGCTAAATAAGAAAGTAAAGTTCTTTAGTGGTGACTTCAATGTAGTGTATACATATGTTGGTTCTCAATTATGAACACCTGAAGTTCACATGAAGTTCTAGTGCAATATTACTGCCATTTAAAAAAAAAAAGGTAAAATCCTATCCTCAGATTGATGTGGATATATTTACATTTAGTGAATTACATATTATGTGGTAATTATAGAATTGCTAAAATAAATAACTAAAATGCTATGTGATCTCCACTTAGTATCACTTTATTTGGATTTAACTATTGTGTTAGACATACCTTGGTATAAATACAAGCACACCATTTGTTCTAATTGAATAAATAACCCCATCAGCTATGCAGCGCTCATCAATTTCAGGGTCTTTGTCTTTAAAATACATGCACTGGAAGAGCTCAGTAGATTGCTTCTGAGAATGCTGTGCTGCCTGTAAGAAGAAGTACAAACTTAAGGCGTGGTACAAACTTAAAAGGCACATTTCCCTGACATTGCCAAGAATTCATATTTAAAAAAAAAAAAAATATTTTATGCATACAGAAATGAGGTACAGGCCAGAGCTGCAGGGGTGGCGAGAGGATTCACCAGAAACAGAATGAGGAGATGAACAGGCAGATCGACAAAGTACATTCTGAGGGGAACATCAGGTGAGACAGGAGAGGTCTGCCACATCATATGGGTCAGCTCCAGGTGGGGATTGAACATGCACTGAAGCGGCCGTGGCGTGGCTTGGCTTGGCTTGGCTTGGCTTGGCAGTGCAGTGCAGTGTGTCAATCTGCTGCACCACCAGGGAGGGCCAGGAATTCATATCCTTACAGAAACAGTGTCTGCAAAGAGGTTAACTACTGTATACTACTATTAGTATGTCCTTCCCTTTTGGAGGGACTTTCACCATCCAGTACCATCCCCTCAAAAATATCTTAGAAACATTTTTAAGACAACCTGTTTGTTACTTGGAACTTAAAATTAATGAAATTAGAGGTTGACATATTTGAGATGTGTCCATTTCAGGTAAAGTATCATATCTACTAGTACATTATAAAAATTCTGCTAATGGCAGTATAAATTAGTACTATTGTTAGTAATACGTTATCAACGTCCCATGTGTGCACATTTTGATTCCACAATTACCAGCATGAATTCATCCAGGCATTATTCTGAGAAGTCCTAACATGCATAAGGATGGTCATAAATTGGATTGCCTAGGGTTATGCTGTCCATAGGTACCCCCAGCACATATGTCTCTTGAGCAAATAAAATATGACTAGTGTGAGGAGCAAATTATTTTGTCCCCTTTTTTGAAATAATACTCATTTACAATACTGTGATTTAGGGGAATAGGTTTACACCTCCTCAGATGTGTGTTGGACCTACCACCAAAGCATCCATAAGCTTTCACCCCAGGCCATTGGGTCCCCCTCCCCTTATCTTTCCCACTAACAGCCTCAATACTGCGGTCAATTTTTAAATTTATACAACATGGAGCCTCCTTGGTGGCACAGGGAAGTCTTAGTCCTACGTGCTATAGCCATCCACTGAGTTTTATCCCAGCTAGGGAGCTGACCCACATGGCACAGCGGACCTCTCCAGTTTCACCTGCTGCTCCCCTCAGCAGTGTATTTCAGTAGATCTGCCTGTTCTGCTCCCCACTTTCTCTGG